GCTTCCCGTACTGAATTTGTATGTCTTATGTGGGCCAATCGTTTATGTACGAATTTTGGTTGTCTTAGCGTCATTATTTTCTGACTTATCCAAGAAGTAAATCTGGCGACCACAGGAACACCGATTCGTAACACATACTATGTCGCTCAACTTTACGAGTATGTTTATAACTTTATAACAACAATTAAATATGTAATATATTTCTACACTAGGCAATTAAACGCTTCCGTTTCTCTGGTTTCATAATGTTGATAACGAGCTGCGGAACAATTTAAACGCGTAATGTATACAAGACACACACGGATGCGGTCGGAACGTATCCATTTTTAATACGATTCGAATACACAGGGTCCTGTGTGTTCGAATCTTATTGTGTGAAACTAAAGAAAGTACCCAGTGATGCAAGATGAAAATTAAATTAAATATTATTATATGCCGGAATATTTATAATTGAATGTAATGATGTAATGATATAATTATGTCAATAAATACATAATACATATATCAATATCAAGAGCCTCTACCATGGCCGCTGACACACTAACCCGTATGTGTGGGTTCATTGAAAGCCTGTTTATTTTTTTACACGCCTTAGGAAACAAATATTCGTCTATTTTCCTTGTCCTTTTTTCCTCAAATACTGTTTAAAATTCATGCGATAATCAACATTCTATTAAAACCAGTAAATACACTCGTGGAATATCGCGTAATTTTTTATCAATAACAATATGCAATTTACACTTAATTCTATGATGAACAACGTCTTCATTTTTTTTTTGTTCTCGCATATATATAATATATGCATAATTATTTGAAAATTAACAATACGAATTATTAGTACTGTATTAGTACTATATTTTTAGAAATTACTTACGGGTATAGGGTACAATATTGGTAAAAACGTCCATTCTCCGATTTAAAGTGCAATCATAGACATAAACATATAGACCAATAGTCAAACCATAGACATAAAACTACACTATATTTTGAATATACGATTGTTAAAATTATTCTTTGAAAAACAAATATAAATAGAATAAAATGAGAGAATGCATAATAAATATAAAAACTAAATAAAAAACCATGACATTAACGAATATAAAAATATAATTGGTGTTTATAACTCAGAAGATAATTTTATTTTTGACTTGACATCCTATTTCCATTATCCAATATAAGAAAATTATATAATTTTCTGACTACAGTACTACACACATAACAGATACTATTACAGTATCACTTCCCCTTATATATGCATATATATATAATTTGAGTTCAACCTTTAGAAATATTTAAAAAAATAAGCACTTATAACACACGATCTTTTCACTCGAAATAAAAGGAGGAATGTTTGTATCATCACCATCCATCATCATATCGGTCTTTTAAACCTCCGAGGTAAATTTAAGTAGACATGTAGCTACGTAAAAACCAGTACTTTAAATAGGGAAACATTAAGAAATAAAAATAATGCCATAAAAAAAAATATATATATATATGTATAAATGATATGCGCACAAAGAAGGTCGAAAGGGTATAGCAATGAGTAAATAAAGAAGTATTGGAATGCAGATCAAATACAAGTAAATGTAAACTATTTAAAAATTCAGACTCTCAAGATCAATAAAATATTGTCCATTATTCGTAGGTGTCTATCAGTACCGTAGTCAATTTTTTTTTGGGGGGCTCTTATCATCTTTATGTAAGCTACTATTTTCTAGTGCGATGCAAAATACATAAAAAAAAAAACCAAGAAACAAAAAGAGAAGGCTACATCCCCCCTCTCCTCCCTGGCACTGTTATCCACTATTCAGAGGAGGTTAAAATTCCTATTCCCAAAAATTCTGTAATTTCGAGATGTCACTGTAAATAGTATATATTTTGAAATTAAAAATTAGGTAGGTAGGCCAGTGGATAAGATGTTAGGTTAAATAAGGCAAAGTTCGGATTCAATTCCAGGTGGCAACAGAAATGAGATTCCAATTTTTTGAATTTTTTCTTATATTTTCGTATAAAATCTGTTCAGCTGGTCTCCGGGGTTTTGGCCGTCCGCATCTTAGCGCTGGGCGTTACTTGCGAGCGGACGTGGAGCTGGAGCGAAGGCGGTGAACCACCATCGGTCCCGAGTCTTCGAAGGGAACACCGGCCCCGGGCCTTTTGGGCCCGTACCTTTCTCACTATTAGTATGGGTTCCTGATCGTTCAGTGAATTAGAGTTACTATCTTGCACCAGTTCCACAAACACCACGTTTCAGGTAGCCTTCTCAACTTTGGGGGCACTAAGTCCGGAACGGTAGGCCGATCCAGCGTGCAGTGGGGCTCCCCCGTCCGTTGTACCAACAGGGTTTTAAGTTGACGTCGGTGGGTCAACTTGAGACTTCGTTTCTCCCACTATTTTGGCTCCCCAGCCAGTCAGTGGTGAGCCATATATAAAATCTGTTCAGTATTAAACTATTAAAATGTCTAATAGTTTGTCTGAAATGACTATTAGAGAAGAGAAATATTGATAGTTTTTTATTAGTTTTTTTACTAAGGGAACCTATAATTTAAAATTTCATAAATGGATGGGGTATTAGTTAAAATACATTTTGGTAATAAAATTTTTAATTTTCGTTAATTTTTTGACGAGATATTCAACTTATAAGTTTGGGTCAAGGGAAATTGGTAGAGTATCATTTAAGTGGCGGCACGGCGTATTAAATCAATACTGAAAAAAGTTAATATTTTTTGAAATAATGAGTGTTTTATGATGCATTGATCATTCTGCGTAAATAATATTTTTTTAATTTTTTTTTTATAGTACAGGTATATTAAGTTTAAATTAGCATAGGCACACATTCAATATGTACCTTTATTCTATATTTAATTCACAATAATTAAACATTGATTTTTTTTATGCGGTATGTTATACTTATATATTCTCCGTCTCTTTTAAACATCTATTGTCTAGGTACTTAATATGTTAAATACTACAGCAGGATGTTAGAAACAATATTCTTCAGAAAAATATTTCCCTCTCTGAAATGTGAAACTTAAAAAATAACAGTTGTTATTTAAACAAATTAAATAAAACCTTAAGAACTGTCAAGATAAAAAAAAAAAAAAAATAAATAAATATGGACAGCTAGAGTTATTTTACTGTAAGTGCCTACCTACTTTAAATGAACGAATATAAACAGAATAATTAAAATTCAGTAGAAATAAATAAATGTACTTGTAATGGTATTCCATTGAATTGAACATTTCGTACAATAACATCACGATAGAATTAATTTTATTATTTAGTCAAGTGCGTATGAACGAAATAACTCCCATCCTAAAATGATGATAATTTCATCATCGTTATTAATTTATACTGAGACTATGTGCATACATAATAAACAAAATGGAGGGATATTTTTGGATCGAGCGTTTATAGTGATGAGGGTTGATATGAATAAGAAACATTTCAAACGGTTTTGAACGTTCAAAACCATGTGTTTTTCCTTCCAGATTAAATCAATATTTTAAATCTATTTTAAGCTAATTTTAGCTCAGGCTATTAAATTAGTATCTACATCGTTATCAGTTTTATTATTGTGGTAGGTATTGTAGTTCACGTGATCCGAAGGCCCATATTTATTTTTTATGTTTTCTTTCTGTTTTTTCTCAATTGTAATGGAAGTGACAAGCTTTGACAATAAAACCAATACTTTCTTTCTCACAAACTAGACAAAAGTCTTTCATAAAAGATGTTATTTTTTTTAAATTTGGAACGAGATTCCCGGTAAAAAAGTTGCCTATAGACATAAAACAAAAATCGCACACACTCCGCTCAGAATTATAAAAGGTTAGGTTTTCAAACATATGTACCGATAGTGATTTCCTAAAGACTTACTATTAACTCGTACAATTATCAATTATACGCTATGCTAACAGGCTGTCAAGTGCATATTTATTTGATGCATATTGTACGCGTTAGTTTTTCGCTTGATTACAATAATATTGTTCAAAAAATAGATTTAAATTTGAATCGTGAACGATATTATCGTCGTTATATCCAACGAACCGCAATATTATTATTTTTTTTCCCCATTGATTTTACTGTTATGACACGATAGACGATGCTCACAGATAACAATATTATAATAACGGCGCCAACTCGAAAAACAATATATAATGTTCAAGTTAATTCTCCAACAAAATACGAAGTATAAATTATTTTTATAAGTTTAAAAAAACGATATACTTACGCAGAGGCCGGAGCCAATTTGACAAACATATTTATGCGATTTATAAAAAAAAAATTATTTCCTTAAAATGTACCCTTACAGATAAGGTATATAACTATAATTCTGTTAAAATAGATTTTTGAACAATAGATTAAATCTTCGTGAATTTAAACCACACGATTAATTATTGCATTTTGACAGACGAATAAAACTAAAACAATAGAAAAGCAGCAGCTTTATGATCCTATCTATTGATCTTAAACAATTTTAAAATCATCGTGTAAACGTTATAACCGTAATTTAAACGACCACTTGTGTATTGTGTTAGCTCCTACGATAAAGCGCGTAAATTGATAGCTAATGAAATCTCGGTTTATAGTATATATATATATATATATATATGTACATCGTATATATAACTACACAAAGAAAATATAAATAAATCTATTTTATTCAATTTTAATTTGTAAATATAAATAAAAATGTAACACGGAAAAATCACATGTAACAATAAGTGAATATTTTACATAATTTATTTTTTGTAAGTAGTAATGTAAAATAAAATTAGTAATACAATCGTCAAAAACTTTAAAATAATCTAAACTTCACTGATCTTCTTCTTCTTCTACTGACAATCCTACTCTCTAAGAGTTTTAGCCACCATTACTACACTTCGCCACCTATCCATATCTTGGGCTGTCTCTCTCCAGTTCTCAACTCCAAGGATTTTTAAGTCTTCTTCTACTACGTCTATCCATCTTTTCCTAGGTCTGTCTCTTGGTCTTTTACCTTATGGCTTCCATTCTAATGCTCCTCTAACTACTTCGTTCTCTCGTCTTCTCATTATGTGGCCTAACCATTGTATTTGACTCTTGATGAAGCTTGTTACTGGTGCTAAATCCAACATATCGTACAACTCTCTATTGTACCTCCTTCGCCAATTCCCCATTGTTTCATCAAAGACAGGTCCACATATTTTTCTCCATACTCTGTGTTCAAAAGTTCTCAANCTCATCTTCTCATTATGTGGCCTAACCATTGTATTCTTTGACTCTTGATGAAGCTTGTTACTGGTGCTAAATCCAACATATCGTACAGCTCTCTATTGTACCTCCTTCGCCAATTCCCCATTGTTTCATCAAAGACAGGTCCACATATTTTTCTCCATACTCTGTGTTCAAAAGTTCTCAGGTTTCTTTCTACTTGTTTGGTCGTTGTCCAAGCTTCGCAGCCATACGTGAGAGTCGGTCTTATAATAGCCACGTATAGTCTTACTTTCGTTTTCCTGGACAACATTCTGGATGTGAAGAACTTTGTCAGTACGTAGAACGTTTTCTGAGCTTTATTTATTTTGATCTCCGATAACAGTTATTCAAATTTTATTTAGAGATAATACAAAAAACATATCCTATTCTTGGTCATTTACTTTTGGGGTTCTTATTTGTTCCTCGTATTCCCAGGAATATTTTAGATTCTGAGCGTAGCAAGGGAACAATTGGTTTTACTATATTTTTGTTAGCTGTATACAACTTCTCTACTAGAAACCATTTTTGTTGCATTTTGGACTTAAAATCTCACTTGCATGTAATCTATGTGTTATTCATATTTCATATTATGATCAAAGAAGAATGATTTACATTTTATTTATTATTATTATCACACACAGATATTTGAGTTATTACAAAACATTGTAAACATTGTTCTGCTGTATGGATTCACTTGTGTTTGGGTTTACAGGTGTGTATTAGAGATAATATACAATTGGCTATCTAGTTGTTACATAAAGTAATATTTACAATAAAATTAAATGATAGGTATTAAAGATATAAATAGGATATTGCTCCGATTTTTATGTGTAGCAATTGAAGATTACAACTCTAGATTGTACTTTGAAGAAGTCATTTTTTGATTTTCAATGCTATATTTAAAATAAAAACATTTAATAAATGGGAAAAAAACGTAGGAAAATATACAATTTCACGATTCCATTATTTAATAAAAACCTGAACGTTTTCCAACAGAAAATTATTTAATCGAAAAATCACAAGATACCTTTTTTGTTGTCTTTTTGATTTACTTTCCTACAGTATCATTCCAATACTTTTAAACTTTCAAGGAATTTTAATTTTAGGGAATTTCTTTTGTTGTAATTTGGTTATTAATACACGTACAGACTTGAAACATAGTAATAATACTTATATTGGACTTATCTAGACATCGTAAAATTTCCAAAATCATCGGATGATTTTTTTTTTTTAATAATTATTTTGAAATTAAATTTAAACAAAAATTGCAAAAAAAAATATGTTACTTTAAATTATGTATTACCGAACTGCACTCAGAATCAGTTTTCGTCAAGTAATGGTTTATATTTATTGTTGCTTATAGATATAAATGAAATAACCTTATGTATCCTACCTTCCCAAATTCTCACCTACAATAGTGACCACTCCCATCCCAAGTATCGGCTCTTTTTTCGTTTATGAACATTAGTCAATACTGTAATAATATCAATTATATGCTTACTATGCTAATAACTACCACTATTGGACCGCGATCTACAATGTATTAAGCATAGGAGTGGCCTATTTACAACTTTAATATCTTTGAATAATATACAACTAAATTTTGTTGAATACAATATAAATTAATGATAAGTTATCCATGTTATAAGTACCATTAATTCTTCAGATGAAAAGTATTTATCAGGAACTAACGATCTGACTATGTTTTTTTCATTTCCGTCTTCCATTGATTGTACCACTTTAAGCCTGTGCATGATACGGAGATTTTCAATAGTTTCACTAGAGATAGTGCCAAATTTTTTATATCCATTATTGATTAGTTCTTGAACAGAAACACTCTAAAAATATATTTTTTTGTTTTTAATTATAAATGGTAAATTATTTTTACGGCATCATTGGTTAACCCAACAAATTAAAATAATATATATTATTGAGTACAGCATTATAGTATTGTTTTATTTTTAAATTAATTCAATAGGACTAACTCTTTTACAGTAAGAATGTGGTGTACATAATTATTAACTTAATAGCCAAGGCTACTACTAAATTAAAATAAAAAAACTGAATAATATGTGAAATAACAATAATAAATATGACAAAAATAATAACTAAAATAATTACACTGATAGGATTAGGTTGAAGATAAAGCTAGTTTATACAATTTTTGCGTCTTAGAATAATTTCTTAACAATAAGTTTGACTTAAATCTAAAAGTATCACGAGGTCTATAAAACTTTTTAAGGTGGCAGAGATTATATTTGCAATTTTCAAAGCTCTAACTAAAAAAGAATTATAACCAATTTTAGACTAAAAATACTGCGATTACAAGAATAAAAAGACTGCATTCAAACATTAATTTGAGATGAAACTTCAGGCTAAAAATATTATTACCTATTTAATAGATCATATACAAACATAACTTAAGTAAACTGATATTTTAATACAAGAGAATGTTATTTTATAAAATTTTGGACTAAAATAAAAGTCTCTAGAAATGGGTACCTACAAGCCTTAGAGGCAAAAAAAAAAAAAAAAATTAAATTGGATATTATGAAGATGATTACATTAACAATTATACAACTGGATAATGATTGGGACCAAATAACAAAAACTAATCGCACAAACGAAAAATTAAGTATTTTTTTAGCATTTGGATTTTAAAAAAATGTTTGGGTGCTTCTATTTATGAAACATGGCATTTTATAAGATTTGCTGAGAATGGTTTCATGATTTATTTTGAGACTATTATTAATTTAGTTATACTAAGTTATTCTAAGCAATAAATTTACTAATCATAACAAAATATTATTGAGTTCTCAATTATTAGGGTAATATATTAACAATAATTGTTTTACCCTGTCTACTTGATCGCCATCTTTATGTATTTCATTTTGAGCTAATTCTTCATTATAGATGCCCGACAAATAATTACATAATGTTTGCATTGCTTCACCATCGTCACGACAACAAGCTAATTGTTTCTGATTCATTTCTAAAATTGATAAAGCTACCTAAAAAAAAAAAAGTTTAACCATTTTTTCTATAACAGAAAATAAAATTTATTTAACTATTTTACTTGAAATATAACTTTAGCGCCATCAAAAAAAAACCAATCGACAATGTGAATTGCACTTTGATATGGCATAACACTGTGAATAATATAGATAAATTTACAAAAGGTTTAAATTATTTTCAATTTGTTTTACCTAAGAAATATTGTAAGAAACCAAGACAAAGATATCATCTGAATTAAACCGAGTCTATATAAAATATCATGTATAAATGGTAAATGAGTAGCTATTAGATTATCCATAACTCCTTGGTCAACTAACGCTCCAACTACTTTGTTATTGTAGTAATCCGGTAACATATTTTCACAAATACAAGCTAACTGCCAAAATGCTTCTTCTTCTGTACAATAAATTAATAAAACAGATGCAATAATGTTCATGGCCTGACAATAACCTATACAAATAATATGTTACTTTGTTTATAATATATATATATAATAAGCAATTATTCTAATGTAGGTAATTTTACCAATTTGAGGATTTTTTGTTGCATATGCTGTGAGTACTCGACGTAATGCATTTATCCCAATTTCAGACTGAAAGGCTGGACATTCAGGCAGTGATCTATGCAAATCACGTTCTATTTCATCATGTGCTATAGATTTAGTATTAGAGGCAATCTCTACTAATTCATTATATAGTCCAGGATTAGCCACCATATCATGGTATGCACCTTTAAATAAAAAAATGAACAAAAAAGAAATAATGTGTGTACCACTGTTGTAAACAAGAAGTTGAGAAAGATAAATTATTGTTTTCAAAAACAATTCTGAGTGGTGTAAGGTTAAACATGTTTTGAAATAACGTGATTTTTATGATTTTCATCAAAATTTCAAATTAAAACTTTTGATGAATTGATAAGAATTTTTGTGAGGCTGAAATAATTTTATCCAATTAAAACTTAAGAAATTCAAAAATAGCCCAGAATGTTTTGAAAATTTTTCCATGTGTAGAAATTTTGTGAAAAGTTTAGATCTCTACAATTATATCATTAATTGAATCACAACAAAATACAAAATCAAAAATAATGAAATCATTATTATTGCTGTAAACTTTCCTGGTTTTTCAATTATTCAGAAAACTACAAGAAAAATTCAAAAAGAACTTCTACTATCTAGATATAATATTTGAAGATGCAACATTTAAAAGTAGGCATAAGATTTCTGGTAAAAAATTTGTTCACAGACACAAAATTAAACAGCAAATATAATAACAATATATGGTATGCTCAGAATCTATTTATTTATTTTATTATAAAATGGGCCATGGTCCAAGGTACAGAAAAATATATACAAAATAATAATAATAACAGGAAAGTGAATTACAGATAAATGACATTAATATAAGGACATTGTTACAATTGATTAAGAAAAATAAAACAATGGGTCCTCATTAGCAATATGCGTCTATCTAAACATTGGTCTATTATGAGAGTAATTGTGGTGCAAAGAGGAATGAAAAACAGGTAAGTTGCTTGAAAATGGAAGCTAGAGATTTTAAAATCAAGCTGACTTAACAATACAGGATAGTCTATAGAGCCATTTATGAGGTTACGTAGGAACACTTTGTTAGTAGATACCTGTCTATCAGTTAGGATTGTTAATCCAAGCCACTTAAGTATTGGATCATACTCATGGGATAAGTAGTCAATGTGAAGTACTATAGCAGCAAAACTTAAAAATTTAAGTTTTAACCTTTCTAACTGGTTATACCGCTCACAGTAGATGAGTCCCAAATAAAAAAGCCATATTCTAAAATAGATCCGATAAGTGCACAGAATAACGCTTTAAGTGGTGATCCCTTTTTACGAAGCAAGTGTTTTCAGAGCCTTGCAGCAGGATTTTTTAATATGATCGTGAAATGTTAGTTCCCCATTAAGAGTAATACCTAGATCATTTACCATACTACCAGCATAAGTGAGTAAAGAATCATAAAGAGTGTCAGACATGTTCACGTATTATATATGATACATATAAAACCATATTACATAAATGGTACATATAAAACAATAGTAAATAAATGATACATATAAAACCATAAAAATAAAGTAATGTTTTTGGTAACGAGGGTGGCACATCCCTACCTGGATCTGCACTTGTTTCTTATACGGTTTAAGTAAAATTGAATGTGAATTAGTTGGCTAGTGGCATATTTAGATTTTAATTTTTATGATAGGAGTTAAAACTTGTAAATTAGGTGATAGTTTTAAGGTGGCAAAAAACTAACCTACATACCTAAGAAATGTATTAGAACTAGTGATCCCCCAAGCATTAGGATGCTGAACACAATTGACTAAAATCACACAATTCAGCATTGAATATAACCATTTTTAAGATATTATAATATTTTGATTTTGTTATTATTCAAACAAGTATCGCCAAATACTTATAGTCTCCATGCAATAGAAAATGATACTTTTTGGTTATCGTGACTACTTACGATTTTCTATTATCGCAACTACCAACAATAGTTAAAATATAATATAATGGTTAAATAAAAATTATAAAAACATTTTTTAAAAATATTGTGAACAAATTTAATTTCAAATAGTATCATTGATCTTAATCTTTGTACATTAAAAATAAATAGTATGCAAATTTTAAATTGAATACAAATAATGTTATTGATTATTTGTTATAAAATTATATAAATATTTCATACCAGAAAATGTCAGCCAAAGATTTGATCTCAATGAATCTGGTATTCCCACTAAAACCAAATTCACCAACTCTTTAGTTTTATACATTGAAACACCTTTTCCGTGCTCTTTGAAGTACAATTCCCATTCAACTTCTTTTGTACGTTGTTTTATTTTAATCAAACAATTATCATGCTCATTCATAGAAAAAGTAAGCATCAATGGTTGTTGTTCATGATTTGACAACTTGTCAGTCTTATAGCTTTTAATAACTGCTCGTCTATAAATATTTGTCTTTTATAATAATTTATAAATTATACTATAAGTTTTTTTACTGATTTTAATTTAAGCAAATTAATAAATACTTACGTATTTAATTTACCCAAAAGTTCAGATACTTTTTTTAAGAAAAATGATCTTTCCATTATATGAGATAATATGAAAACTGGAGGCTTATCATTAGTACTTGAAGACTTCAATGTTATTATTACAGCATTATCAAACGGTATATCAGGCATGTAGTCCAATTTTTCAGCTTGAGATACATCACATAATGGAATAACCACATTTAATGAGACTTTTGACTGTATTACACAACATTAAATTAAAAATTTAATAATATAATAAAATATATTAGTGGAATTAAGTTAATACTCACTTTACTATTAAAACACATAAAATTTTGAAATAAATACACTTGTCCCCATACAAGATTTTTATCATATGGAGTGAATAATGTAGCATTAGTTACTCCGTCAAGTTTTTCATTTAAAGGCAACCGGAAGAGAAGTCTATACAGTTCAGACATAGCTCTAGCATCTAAATCACGTTTTACAAATGATTGTTTTTTGGGAACATGCATACTGAAATAAAAAAAAATCATTTAATTTAAAATCTTTAAAGAATAGGTCACCCACATATTTGTTGTCTGTGACTTACCACATGCATCTGGATTCTAGATGAATTCGTTTTTGTACTATTGATAGTGTAATTAGCATTAAACTGAATTTATATTTATAATAACTACCTGACAGTACTCACAAAGGATGGTATTGTGCTTATTATATTATATATAAAGAACATCATGATTCTGAACAATCAATATTCCATTAGCAATAATGTATTATTGCATAAAGATATAAAATAAATAACCCTGTATCCTACCTTTTCAACTTTTTAGTAACTAATTTAAAAAAAATATAATATTGAAATAATGTTTTCTTAAATATAGTCTATTAGTATACTGTTAACCCATGCCATTCACACTATTAATTCTAAGACTATTTTTAAAATAAAAAGGATATGAAATATGAATAAGGACAACAAATGGGGGTGAGAAAGCTAATTTACAGAACAAATGTACCTACCTAAGTTTGTTAAGCAGGTTATGATCTTTGTTAAACCAGACATCATTAATTATTCTAAAAAAAAAAAAATACACAATAAGTTAATAATATATGTGTACATAATATTAAAAAAAAAACATTTTCAAGAAGTTAATTTTCTATTTTAATTAAAAAGATGAGTTCTTCAAACAATTTTTTTTCAGATAATACTTATATATTATGTTGTACATTGTGTTTAAGAATCTTCCAGAACAACTTAATAAAACTTTAAATTTAATGGAATTGAAATTAAATTAAAAATATTTATTGATAATTCATAATAATGTTGATTACCCTTTCATTGCTAGATTAACAAGTTGCTTCATCAACGAAAATGTCTCAGATGATTTCCGGAACAAAGAAAAACAATACTAAAAAAATTAATGTAAACATAAATTAGTTTTCCTACACTAAATTATAAACAACCAGTTAAAGTTAGTTGGAATTATTGTTATTATTAATAATTCTGAATCATTTAAATTCTGATATTTAGCATACCTTGTACAAATACGATTTGATATTGGTGAATAAAGTTTACTTTAATTATAATTGAAAATGTTATAACAAATACAGATTTACTAAAGTTAAATTAATTCTTTTATCACACTATTAAATTTTAACACTGATAAATACACATATTTTTTTTTTAGGACAAAATGTAATAAATAATATATGAATAAGTCCCAAATTTCATATTTAAAAATTGCTTAGAGTGAATTACCAGATATTGTTTTATCAATGAAATGTCTTTTTTTATTTTGAGTTAAATTTGAGTCTGCTAAATTTAGATAACAAAAAGTAAGCAATTTAAAAAATATTTCCTGCTAATTAAATACAATTTTATAAATTCACTACTTTCAGAATTGGATTATAAACAAGTTTAAGATCACATACTTCCCTTTTATCTCTTGTTGTCACTTTGATTGAATCTGATAACATTTTATTATTTTTTTCCAAATTTACAACATCGGCCCATCTCACAACTATTTTATCTTCTATTCCTAGTATGTATGTATAAAAACATAAATATTCTATTGACAAATAAAGCCAACCTTGACGGGGAAATTTGTTCTTCCAATAGCTAAACATGAAAATAATAAAAATTAGTAATTACTATGATGAACTAAATATATTAAACTCACCTGCAAGAGTAGTAGCATACTAAAGTACTATCACGAGATACATTGAAGAGGCGGTGAAACTTTATTGATGCATCTTTAAATGATTCAGAGTTTTCTTCATCAGGTGTTTCAGATAAATGAGTTGCAACTAAACTTTTAATTTTACAGCAAACAAAGTCAATAATATCTTCTTCTTTCTCAAAACTTCTAAGATCCAAGTTATTTTCTAACCATTCCCAATCTTTTAAAATGTCTGATTCAGTCAATGCACAAGCTATTTCTAAAAATAATAATTACTATAAACTAATGCATTATTTGCAGATTAAAAATAATATTACATATTAGAATGGATATCACTGATTAATATAGGTACCAATTAAATGTTAAAACCAAATTGTAATATTCAGTTATTGCTTTCTAAAATCATTTACTAATAACCTATGTTGAATACTCACAGTAATAATGTAGCATTGAATTAAATTAAAATTAATCTTTAAAAATCCTAAATTCAGTAGGTTAATGTGTTATTAACTTGTTAGAATCTATAAAAGAATTTGAATGCTATAAAACAATTTTTTATTTAATTAAGCAACAAATTACTGACTATATTTTCAATTAAATACGGGCATTAGTCTAGTCTTGAATATTTCTTTTTTATAAACCATTGAAGTGTTAAATGTAACATTGATACAAATAGGTTTGTTATCTATATGTTTACTAAATAAAAATGCAATTAGTAGAAATGTGTTCTTAAATTACAAATTAAATGTTATTGACAAAAAAATATTATAGTCAGTAAATTCAGAAAGCTATATTTCAAATAAACTGGCCTAGATACTGCTTTACTAAAAGTTATTAAAACTGTTTTATTAAAATAAACATGTATCGGTATTATAAGAATTATCAAATGATTATATTATGTTACCATAATATACTTCTGAATTTGCTGTTCGGTGCAAAATTCTGTAAGGACATGGTCTTGTATCGAATATACTGTCAAATGTACCAACTAATAACGAAGACAATTTATTCCCTTGTCCAAGTCCAACGCGGTGTTGTAACAAAAAGTACACACTGAACTTTTCGGTTTGCCTAAACAAAATTTTACTTATCAAATCACATTAAATAATAAAAAATAAATATGTATATGCATATTTTATTTACCAAAAAGTGTGAGGAATTAATACTTCTTTGGGATTCACCCACATATTGCTTTGAAAAATAATTGATTGAAAAAGCTACAGAATTCACAATTAAAATATTAGATAACTATGTTACATGTTTTCAATTATAACGCGTTTTACAATTTTTATGGAAAATTCATATAACTACATAGGAAATTAACATAAAATATTGCAATTCTATAATAGTAAAAATAGTTAAAAAAATTAACAGAAACGAACAAAAGAAACGTAATAACAACAACTATAATAGCCTAGTACCAATATTTCATAGTAAAAAGTTACCTGCCTATAACATCATTAAAGTGGAATTGTTTTCTTGGACGCCCATTATCTCACATGTCCTTATCATTTTTGTGTAACTGTGCCGAATTCTGGCTTGATACCATAATACATATTTTATTCTATGGTGACACCTAACACGATATACCTTTAATATACCTTAATTCATGGTGAACACCTACGACTCATAAGTCATAACTCACAAATTGCAGAGTAATAATAATGTGCACCACTGTGGGTATGGACTATGTATCATAGACACATGAATATTTATTATGATTTTAACATATTTAAACGAAACTGTCGACTGTCATTATAGGAAAATAATTATTTCAACATTTAAATACAGCCTCCCTTCTCTGTTATCACATTATATGCTTATCACAAGTTATTGCTATGGTTTATTGACATCATGGACCACGTATTATATAATATCACAGATCATATGAATAATTATATTCATATTTCATATAAATTGTGATAATATTTACGATACGATATTTTACTTATATTACCTATCTTTTTTTTTTTTTGTTTTAAACTGATAGCACTGGATGATCTGTATTCTGTGTTAAGATTACTACTTTAATAGTTTAATCTTACGTCTATGTAATGCTAAAGTTCAAGCAAATACTATAAATGACAATACGAGAAGCTCATTGCATTTTTACATTTATCCCTTTGAAGTTGAATACTACGTATTTATCGAGATACCTAAGGCTTAAGGTGCTAAATAGGTAACCATTAACATTTTGTAGCTCCTCGTGTTCCCAATACACTAAACCAAAGATGGTCATCTGTATGTAATGGTAATTTTTTTGTTTGTCCCGTCAAGTTATATAGTTAGATAGGAAAAACAACCTAAATTGCAAAATCAATACACTCCTTGCTTCGCTCACAATCTATAGTTAAAGGACAATTAGAATTAGGTAAACTATTTAATTCTATAGGTGGGTATTTCAATTAAACTCTTTTATATTATATGCATATTTAGTTAATAAAACAAATGTCATAAATTGTTATATTTATAGTTAAACTGATAGCGTAATTCAGAATTCAAATTATGTTATACTTATTTTAACTATTGGATTTACTTGATGAGGATGGTCTAAGGAAATTTTTTTAAAAAGAAGACGCTAAACACAATGATAATGTATAAAACCAATTGTTACAAATGTCTAATGTAAATAGTTTTATGTTTAATGTTACAATAATTTACACTAGATGTTTGAGTTTAGACTTTAGAGTACAATAATAATAAATATATGAAATTCTGAAATTGTGTCTTTATTAATAAAATTATTAGGCAAAGCCGGCAAGACGTTTTTCTTTATCTTCTTTTGTTCACACCTCTCTCTACCTACCCTTCATCTCCTTGACGATTTATTTTAAATTCTGAGGGGAGCAAAGAAGTTAATGGTTTTAAGGATTTTTTTTTATCTGTGCACAACTTTTCTACCAGAAGACTTACTCAGATTTTTAAGTATACCACCTTTTCTGAAAGGAAATCGGTGGGGAGGTCCTTATAGTAATAAGGAGGTCATTTTTCAATTTTTTTCAAGAGTTTTCTCATCGAATAAGAAAAACCGAAAAAAAAAAAACGGGAAAATATAAGAAATGTAAGTATTAGTTAAAATGTATTATGGCTTATTTTTTTTAGTGCATAACTTTTATACCAGCAATTTAGCTCAAACTTTTAATGATAGCAATGTTTCTTAAAGAAAATTTCACTAGCGAAGTACTCTAGAGAGGTCATTTTACGATTTTTCCAAGAGTTTTCCAAGCAAATATGAAAAACCGGGAAAATCAGTACAACATTAAACGGATATTATTAAAGAAAATATATAACGCCTACTTAATTATTTTACTATAATACGGCATATATATATCGTTGAAAAAGCATCACTATCATCTGAATTCCGCTCAGAATCCTCTTTTTGTTAGCAATGGCTTATCGTTGCTTAGACCTGTAGTTTGAACGTAAACAGCGCGTGATATTATTCAATACATCGTTTGTAAATAATTGTATGTACTGTAAAACTCCAGAATATGAACCACTGTAAATGTCCGGACTGTAATCGGCCGGAAAAATAAATGCTCTGACCAGAATATTCCGGATCGAAAAAAGCCAAAAAGCATAAATGCCAAAACCAGAAAGTCCCGGTCAATAATAGTCGGGAATAAAAAAAATTCGCACATTGTAATGTTCTAGATAAGAAGTTGCCGGAAAATAGTAAGGATTGTAAAATTACGAACAAGAAATTTCCGGAATGTCACGTACAAGAATAATCTGGAATTTCAAAAACACTATTGATACTGATTACCGTGACACCTGGTATGAGCATGTACATCCATCTCTGAAAACAATCATAAAATCATGAACCTTCTTTTAATCTTAATTCGTTTATTCTGTTTGTACTGTGTATGCGAAAGATCGCCATCTATCAGTGTTTTTTGTTAAATACCGGAAAGTTCTTGTCCGGGACATTACAGTGTGTGTATTTTTGTATTCCAAATTATCATAGACCGGTACATTCTAGTTTAGACATTTGTACTCGGATTTTTACAGTTCAGAATTTTCTAGTCTAAGCATTTATTTTTACGGTCGATTATAGACCGGACATAAATAGAGTTTCATTTACTAGATTTTTACAGTCCGCCGTTTTCTTGTTAATAAATTTATACATTCCGGAGTTTTATAGTCCATATAATTGCTACTAATGATTTTTTTTTCCGAGATATTAGTCCGTAAAATTACTGAAAATTTCTGGATTTGTACGGTCCGTCTGATTATTTTCTGGACAATTCTGGTTTACCCCGCCAATCCATTCGTTTCTACTCCTGTTTCCTGTATGATATTTTAGTTTATGCCCTAGGGCCTGGACCAATAAACATTTATTATGGTCTAAGGAAAAAACTAGGTAATTTATTAAGATAATACTATCTTTAATCGTAATCAGCTGCAGTCTTCTAAAACAATGATAAGAAAATGTACTAGTCGATAACAAGTAGTTTCGGGTAAATTACCATTCGATTGTTTCATTTTCATCTTTTTATAGTTTTTTGCCTGTGGTACTCTATGCAATATCGTGGTTGCAATTTACGAACAAGTGTCTCTACCGTGAAACATTACTATTGATAAGTAATATCATTTTTTTGCACAATACTATGTAAGTGAATGTGAGTCACGAATCCACTATCGACCATCGACTTATCCGTTGTAGAGTTTCAAGTTCACAATAATGACCTAGTGTAAATAAAAATATAATTTTATATTTTAATACTACTACTAAATTTGTGTTGGTTAGTCAGTGCAAGGATTCAAACTGTAAGTATTGATACCTATTTAAGTAGCTAATATAATATTATGCCTAGGTTTATAATTTTATATTATTAGTAGGTAGTTAATAGAGGATATATTTTAATCCATATTTTGTTTGTTAAATATGTAATAAGTATAATTAAATTATTTTTTATGGGTTTGTATAAGATATTTTTGAAATTTTTCATGGAGGTCATGTCTAGAAGATCTTACAGGTGTCATCATGTTTAGAATTTTTTAATTTGTAATGTTAGCTAGTTTTTTTTTTAGTTATTATGTTATTATAAATACTTTAATTTGTATAATTTGTGCGTTATGTGTTTAATATATTAAAACAATGACACAGATGTCAGGTATGACACTCCAAAACTATGATCAACTAAATTTAAAAAAAAAATAACTATCAATTGCTTAATTTGTTTCATATTTAATTGTTTTAATTTAAAATAAAAATTATTATTGGAATAGAAAAACTGAATAAGTACCTACTTTTAGGGAAATAAAATCTATACCTATTTAATATTTATTATTTCTATACTGATTAAAATCATTCATTATTCTAAAAAATTAATATTCTAGGAACATTTTTATAATATGTATGGGGACTGCATACTTAGTTTACTGAATTATTGAACTGGGGCCATGGACTACTTTTGCGCTACCAGTGATTTTATTTTGTCATAAAATAAACTATGATAATAATATTTTATTTATTATTATATTATTTACCGTCCAAATAATATAGGTATTTTAAATATTGAAATTCACACAATTATTACAACTTCATGTGTATTTATCATTAAAACCATTTTTAAATAAATTTGAACAATGTAGTCTTAATGGTTTCAAGTTTTAATTAAAAGTCTACAAATTTAGTCAACAGATAGTATTGTAAATTGAAGATCTGCATTGCGATCATAGAGCAATATCACTATGATTATGATCCCTAGCACTTGTTTTTTGTTAAACTGCTGATCAGAAGCCAAAACATCTGTAGCGTGGTACAAAAAGTATGAATGAGCTGGAACTTAGCAAGGTCTATAATAATACTCACATACAATACTGTAAAGTAACAAGTTCTCAAAGTAAAAAATTACGTAGATTTTACCTGTAGTTACCCGTCGCAGAAATCAATTTTTTTAGTAACATGCCACAAAAATTTTATTTATCTTTGTGTGAATGTATATTTTGTTTATGTCTAGTGTATATAACCATAGTCATTTAAACAGGCATAGGCTTTCCATTCATCACTGTATAGTTAAAACAGTTTCAACTTCTATTTGAATTATTTATAGCAAAATTCTTTGTTATGTGTGTTTACTATAAAGTCGCCATATTATAGTGCTCTCATCAAACCCACCTCTCCTCAACAATAAAGACATTATTTATAGATACATAAAATACCATTATTAAAAAGTTATTGGACTATTATCACGTCTAAAAACTGAATTTTCAATTTCAACATATTAGACAATAAACCAACCAATTAATATTAGATTTTTTTTTAAAACTTTAATGACATCTATTTGGTCGACTCCAAGTAATTTGGATAAAGGCAAAAAAAAAGAACATGATAAACCTTAAAGACATCTAATTATGTAAATATAAATAATATATTAAACATTTTAATTGATATAATTTTATCAGTAAATTGTTTTACCGAGGCTCTATAGACTATGGAACTAGAATCTATGGATATAATTCTAGTTTATCTAATAGTCACTTTCTAGTATAATAAACACTATTGTTTTTAGTTAAATACCAATTTAACTTAAATTGAGTTAAATCAAATAATGTATTTGATAACTTATAGATACTTTTTTTTTTTTTTAATGTTTCTTTTATCAAAATGTGTGTCAAATTATTATTGCACATGTTTAAAGGTTCACATTTTATATTTTTAAATAATAAAAAGTTGATAATGCTTAAACATTGTGGGTCCTTATTGTAGGTAGGAAGTTAAAAATGTAGGATAATAGAATATACATGATGTTTTAGTTGATATGCTGTATGCAACGATAAATCATTGTAAATAAAAAATTCTGAGCAGAATAGTATTAGTTGTACTTTTCTCATATCGTATTGTCAACTTTACCCAAAATCAAGTATCAAAATACGGCCCTAGGAAGTTTACTGTTGAAAATGTCAGTGAATGTTTCAATACGTACCGTTCAGAAATTCACCATCTTTGAAGCGTGCAAGGAAATATTGGAGTATTTACCTATCTAAAAAAGTATTACAAAAATAAACATAAGCAATTCATTTGAATATTCAAAAATTGTTTTCAATAATATACTACCAGGTGAAAAGCTCTTATCTTTTAACACATAACATGAAACAAAGCTTTTCTAGGAGAATGGGGACGGGTGCAGCTACTATTGTAGGTGGGAAGTAGACAGAAATTTAATGTATATTTGTAAGCAACAATTAACAATTGCTAACGAAAAAACGATTCTGAGCAAAGTTTAGTTGATAGTGTTGTTTTGTCAATAATATAAAAAAAATAGTGTTAACCATGGTTAAATAAATATTGTAAATAATAATATATTGTTCTAAATGTAAAATATCATATTGACTACACGTACTACATTCAATTATTTTATAATAAACATTTTAAATCTGGGTATTTAATGGGTACTACCAATTATTACATCATAATGTGCATGCAATAGAATTGAGTAGATAGTTATATTTTAATAGTATTTAATCATTTTCCCAAAAAAATATAAAAAATAAAAGTTTAATAGATTTAATTATTTTAAATTGTAAGGTTATGTTAGGTTAGTCATTTTAAAACCATTTTGTCAATTAATGATTACTAATTAAATTTTTTAAGTTTTCTTCTGCTCTAGTGTATAATTGATTCTCAAAAAACTTGTTTTTAATAATTCAAATGGTTATTAAGATTATTTTTTTTCCAATTTATTTATAATTAATATTATTTTAAAATGATATACAATTATTGTGTAATACATGATAAGATTTATATTTACTACTTTCTTTACAACCATTAATAGTTTGTTATTATAATTTTCAGTGAACTGTAAGTCTGTAACTTGAACAGTGCACATAATGGAGGAAGATTCTTCAATTACTAGCAGATTAACTAAACAGTCAAAACAATTTCCTTTGTATCCTATCGGTATGTAGATTTATAATTTTGTATTTTTTTTTATTATAATATATGGATTTTTCTAAATTATTAATTTGTATACAATTATTTAAAAATTCAGGAATATTGGGATTCGGATTAGTTGCTGGCTATGGACTTTATAGATTTAAAAACCGCAAGGGTGCGACATCTCTGTACCTCATTCAATTACGATTAGCTGCTCAGGCAACAACTGTAGGAATTATTGGAATCGGTGTGTTATATAATATTTATACCGATGCAATTAAGCCTAAAACTGAAAGCTGAAAACAAACATGTAAGGATTATTAGTGAAAAATATTATGAGCTAATTTAGTAATATTTTAAAAACCTAGGTAATATTTTGTTGTCTACATATATTATTGTAATTTACCTACATACAATACAGTATATAACTATTTCCTTGAAGTTAATGTCTATAAATTACTTATAATACCCTTATAATTCATTACCATTCAATTTATTTATTTATTGTACCTACTTTAAAAACATATTACATATTATGGTATTTCATACTTTATTGATGTTTGTATAAAACTAGAAATATTTTATGCCTTAGTATTGTATCATTGTAGGAAACGGATTTATATGCACTTAAAGTCAACAAAAAAGCGCTTAAAATGTCAAAAAAGCCATAAAAAATCATTTAAAAATATTTAAAAGAGTTATAATGGTAAAGGGATTTAGAAGTCCCTCCCTCCAATGGTTCTTGTTCTTATTAAAAATAATTTTTCAACACTACAAAAATGATTATCTCAAAGTATTATTTTTCAAGTAAATTTGTTTTATATTGTATATATATATAAAAAAAAAATACTTTGTGTTAGAAAATTGTATTCAGTTAGAATCATTAGCGAAAGAACTTTAAACCACTCTACCATTTTTGCTTTTTTTAATATATTTAAGTTTTTTTTTTACAGATTCTCTTATTATGTACTATGTAAAACCAAATACCTACTTAGTATTTATTATTTACTATTATTGTTTTGTTTACTAGCATATTATAATTAGTTAATTATTGTTTAAGCTGTGCAAGTAAAATATTATACAATAATATAATAATATTTTTGATTTAATATTAGTTTTTATTTCCTAGCATATTATAATTAGTTAATCAATTATTATTTAAACTGTGCAAATTAAATATAGCATATAATATGTTTTATTTTTACAAATTGTGAAAGTGAAGAAATTTAGTAAACCATAAAGAAGAACTTTGACTGTAACTTATGACTAGGTATGTTTTAGTTAGATATAGTACAAGTTCTGGAATACAGTACACGTTAAAAAAAAAGTTTATTTATTTTCTGGTTTAAATTGAAACATATTAGGACTATGAAGTATAAAATTTTCAATAAATAAATTAAATTTGGATTTCTTAAATTAAGTGACTAATATAAAATATTATGTAACTAGTGTTACACACTAGTCTAAACTTTAGACACTAAGCAGCACACTATAGTTTGTCCCACAAGAGAACGGGGCATTTCTGTGCTCACAAACTGAGCTCCAGCTAATCCAGCAGTCCACTGTAGGTTGTTTCTTTCTCTACATAACCAAATGTAATGTAACAGTGCAGTGTAGGGAAGCACGGTAGAAATCGGTTTTGGTCGGCACACAGCCCGTTCTTTCTGGAGGTTTATGGTTTTATGACCAAAAAGGATCTATGGCTGATTATATTATTATTATGTTTTCTACTTAAAATATTACTTTAATCAAAAAATGCCAAGAAACCTTTTTTGTTGCATTTTAAATATAGTTGATCATAAAGTAATTTTTTGTACTCCTAAGCATTTTTCTTAATAATTAAGCTGAACTGGAAGAAAACTGGAATGTTTATGAAATTACTGGTTTTTTTTAATTTCAATTTTATTTTTTGTTGTAATTGTAAAAATATTCACAGAAATTTGACATTTTGACAAATCATGTTAGTCTTTTTTAGACATGAAAAAATTTGTCAGTTGCGGGTCAGAGGATATTGCTGTGATTCCCAACGTGGGCTTTTTTAATTTTTAGGGGGCTTTTTACTTAAGAAGGGCGATTCTACTATGACTTTCATTATTAAAAATAATTCACTATTATTAAAAAAATATTAGTAAATTCATAACTTATTGAAATGAAATATATATTTGCTTACAATAGAAAATAATTAAATAAATAAATATTTTATACACACTTCAATAACAGCGAAAAATCCCATTTTCATATGAATATGTTCGACAATATTGTATACTTGCATTTATTACATCAAGCTATATAATTTATTATGTTCGTTAGTTAATTCGTTACTTATTCGTAATTATAATAAAATGTGAAGAAAATATGTATTTTACAATATAATTAAATGGCTGATTATAAAAACTAAACTGTGATTTTTTTTTTTAATTTATCGGGGAGGGGGCGGTAAGATTTTTTTTTAACAATCTAAAGGAGGCGTTGAGTAAAAAAAGGTTGGGAAATACTGCCATAAATTTATAATTCCAATTTTTAGTAGAAAGTACGTCATAATTAAAAATGATGAAATCAACAACGTGCATTAAATACTTTTTCGTTTTTCTTAATAATTTTTCTTTAATTTCATTTCCGAGTTTTCCAAATTATTTCAAAAATCTTTTGGAAAATCAAAAAAATAATCTATCCAATAACGACTAGATAAATTTTCAGAAAAGATGCTACATGTCTTGATATATTTGAGGAAGTTTTCTTTTGCAAAAGTTGTTTACAGACAGAAAAAAAGCTGATACTGGGCGTGTGCTACTGTTGTGGGTAGGAAGTTGAAAAGGTAGGGCAGGTACACGAAGTTATTTAATTTATATCTGTATGCAACGATAAACCATTATTAACAAAAAGCGATTCGGAGCGAAGTACGGTTATACAAGTTTTGAAAGTCGTAATATTTACGATTTTTGTCAAAATTTGATATTAAACTTATATATAAAAAAATACTACATTAAACTTTTTTTTTTCTTTGCCGACATAATGAATCAATTAAATTTTCAAAAATTTCTATTTAGTCTAACAATTTTATTCTCAAATATGAATTACATAAAAATCTCAACTCGCAAAATTGAATTGGTCATTTCGAAAAGACCATTTTTTCATAAAATGAACATTTTCAGGAAATGTAAAAAACGTTTATTAATATTAATAATAAAAGTAAAACAAATTAAACATCTTTGTAAAACCATAAGTTTCTTCACTTTACTCAGAATCTAAAAATTATAACAATACTTGGTTTTACGATAACATTGTAATGCTGAACAATAAACCAGTTGATAATACAATCTTAACGAATAATATTACTTTTAAAGATATTTTGGAGAAATGGCCTTTTCAAGTGCACCCATTAAATTTAGACCATAATGAATTGTCGGAGATATCTTAGATAAATTTACATGCCTTCACAGATAAGTAATCCGAGGTCAGATATTTTCGAGATTACTGGTCGGAAAATTGAAAATCTGATTAATAATTGTTAATATTTCTATCCAGAAGAGTAGGTATATAGATAATATAGGTAACAAAATTCTATGAAACATTTTTCGAGGTATATTATATCTGTCCAGATTCATTAGCCTATATGGCTTGTGGGTCATGGCTATATTATGCCATGAAAAGAGGTAGGAAAATAGTAAATCGAAAATCTAACTGCTCTTCGTTGTTGTTTTGGGTTGCTATTTTTGTTTTTACAGCAGTTTTGCAACTCACAGACGTCCGAACGTTTCACGCAATTGACCCTCGTCTGACTGGGGGCCCTCTTATTTATTTTCACTCTTTACTTGTATTCATCGTTATGACAGTGGCCTACGTTGGCCACAACGTTTCGTTTTTCAACGCGATTCGACCTTTGTTACACAGTTGGTTAAATTCTGTTTTCCTTACACTTTTATTAATAATTGGGGAAAACCGTTAGAAAATGTACATAATAATGGTTTTAGATATACATTTTTCACAGACTATTTATAAGTTATATTAGCCCTTTCTAAATATGGTCAAATTTTCAAAGTACCTAATCGAACCGATTTTAAGTTATTTATCTTTTTCAGTGAAAGATTTACGGGGAGGGGGGGTCCAGGGGTTTGGATCCTCTCAGACACCGATATAATTTCATTCAAATGTCGTGCAAAAAATGACATCCACTAATAGATTTGAAACTTAGGTATACATATGATTTTTCAGGACCTTTCCCAGAGAAATGTTGAAAATCCGCAACTAGTATCTTTATGTATATCTAATTGAAATTGTTGAATATTGTATAACTTTATTTGGTTTTTTGTAAGTAACATTCTTTTTTTTGCACAAAAAAATACTGAACAATTTGACAAAATGGTTACTTTATGTAGATCTTGTGCCACTAAAAAAATATCGAAAATTTGCTGTCACCATTTTGGTTTATAAGCGTTTTGCTTTCATAGTTTGATGAATATTATAAAAATTACGGTATTTCTCGTAGATACTATTTATAGTATTGTTTTGATTTATGTGAATTTCCGCTGTTATTTCCTATACACCAGAGTAACAGGTAGTATAATATTATTACGTACCTAATAATATGCTATCTAAATACGAATCTAAGTGTTATATAAATATTCCATTGAAGGGACTAGACATTTCTTTGGGCATCAAAAAACCATTGAAAATAATAAAATACCTATAATCATGAGTATAGTATTTTTATAATTATTTATACCTTTGCCTTAACCATACAGTTTTATGTTTCATGCACAGTTAAGGCTATCATACACTTACAGCTATTACCTGTACGGAAGACAAATCAATTTGCTCGTACTTTTCTCGTCACTATACAGTTTTGAAAACGGCCGATTTGTTGGCCCACACATTGCAGTCGGTTTTTAGCCATTTTGAACTACCTGTAAACATTGTAGGGATATAACATTACCCGTGTGTTGTGCATAATACATTTTTATTTTCAACTGCCGGGGGTAAATATTTTGTTGTTACATAATATAATATGTATAATGATAGCATATGTTTCATCTGTTCTACAAGTGTGAACACACGTCAACGGTTCAACACGTTTAGACCGTAATTTTTCATCTTGTCATTTACGATATATTTATAGGAATTATCTGCAGTGGCGCCGAACTTGAGATGGGGTTGCTGTCCTTCTATTTCACCTGTCAAGGGGATATGTATAGTATGTAAACCTACCGACTACCGTGGATATAATAAGATACGGTTTAATGGATTTACAATTATTAATTTATGTATTTTAATATTAGGTACCTATGTACAGTGTAAATTGTATCTATCGTCGTAGTTCGCCTTATTGTGATACCTACCTACTCCTTGGTAGAACACTGGTCTTGGCCGTTGGACGAGAATAATAATTTACTTAAAGTTTTGTCACTTGAAATTATTTAATTACAATTCAGGCCCAATAGTATACAATCTATATTTACCTATCTAATATATTTTGTGTTAGGCATAATGAATTATTGAATTTTTAGGTCTTTTTGGAAATACACAATAATTATGCACAGTATAATTATAATATCTCTATTCGAATGCATTCGATCTTTTGGATTATATTCATTTATTTGATAGCCATTATTTTATTTAATAAGACGATCAATATACAAATTCAAAATCAATTTATTCATGTAGTTTTATGAGACGGGTGATATCAAAAATTTAAGTGCACCCACCGGTGCACTTATCATTTTATATAAGTTTCTATATTTCAAGGGGTTTTCCCCCGGCACTGATGTCCACTATTCATAGGAGGTTATAGCTCCTGTTCCCAAAAAGTCCGCAATTTCGAGATTATGTCACTTATAGGTGCCAGCTATATTATAATATATTGAAATTGATTTAATAACTTATATAGTCATAAAATCAGCTTCTCAATAATTAAGTACTTAGGTAGTCTAGTGGATAGTGCGTTAGATTAGGTTTGGTAGGGTGTCTCTGGTTCGACACTCGACTAATGTTTTGCATTTTTTCTTAATAACAAAAAATGTTATAATAATGATATAAAAAAATTTTTTTATAGTATTTCACACCTGGCCGAATAATATTATTAAAATGTTACCAACATATTTTTGTTATGTATTTGTATTGCAATAATAATTCCTATAGTAATATTACTTATTAAAAATGCAATGTTATACAAATATTATTATAATGAAATTTTGCTATTTGGGAGGAATTTATTGGAATATTTTATCACTCGACACAATTTGTTTTATAGTCCTACTCGATATATTTATGATGCATAATATACATAAGTACATAACGTATAAAGTTTGTAACCGATTGGTTTAATTCGGTGAAAAATAATAGCGGAGGTCGGAAATTTCTCCGAATAAAAGATATATACCAGATACCTATAAATATTTTTAAAACATTCTGATAATTTTTTAATTTTTTTTGCTCATTTGAAATCTTCAAATTTTAGATTTTGAGTGGAGCGAAGAAGCTTATGGTTTTACAAAGATGTTTGTTATTATTTTTTTTTTGTGGGCAACTATTTTACTAGAAGATTTGCTCCAATTTTTACGTGTAGCACTTTTTCTGAAAGAAAATTTCACTGGAAAGGTACATTAAAGAGGCTGTTTATCGATTTTTCCCGGAGTTTTCTTAGAAAATGTGAAAAACTGAGAAAAAACATGGGAAAACTGGGAAAAACTTAGGAAAACCGGGGAAATTGGTACAACATTAAACAAATATTATTAAAGAAAATATATAGAGCTTATTTAATTATTTTACTATAATATTGTTGACAAAGTATTACTATCAACTGAACTCTCCTCAGAATCGTTTTTTCGTAAGCAATGGTATATTGTTGATTACAGATATACATTAAATTACCTATAAAAGTGGCTGCACCCGTCTCATTATCCTTGGATGACTTATTTAGGACTTAATTTGGTTTTATATGATTACAATTATTTTGGTCCAGTAAAAATGCTCGAAAATTTAAAACAAGATCTATCATAAGTTGTAGCAATTAGTAGAAAAATAAAAGTTAAGCATAATGAAGCAATTTTTTTTTTGTAAACGCTTTAAGTTCAAATTTTAATGAAAATATGTACTCTGCTCCCAAGCTTCTTCAAACAAAAAGTAATGGTACAATAAAATGTCTGAAAAATTAGTTGAGGTAAGTATTCGAATGCCACACCGTCACAGAAATTATACCCCAACTACCTTAACCCACTAAACGTCCCTAGAAGTGAAATATTCTCTCCCTAACGGGTTGACGGAATTTAAAAATGTCAACACCAGAATCTATTTAAAATAAAACTACATTTATACATGGTAATTTCAATATAGATTGCTACTTGAAAATCAAATGTAGGTAGTGGTTTTATCACCAAAAATAACGGTAATGTAACATTTTAGAGATGCTTATTTCTTTGATTTACTATATATATATAAAAAAAAAATATCCGAAAAAACTTAATACATTTCGTGATAATAAGTATTTTACGATATGTTGATCATTTTGTATAGTTATATACTATTTATATACCATATAGATTGTAGAACAGGTGCGAGTGTATAATTTTGGTAAAATATTTGTGCCTACATAAAGAAAAACTGATTAAATAATATGTTGTATAGTGTATACAATATTGTATATTATAATACAATATCTATACTCAGCTTTATAAATTTATTTCGTATTTTTAAATAAACGAATATACATAATAATAATTAAAAAAACAATTTCCAACGCTGTTCATTTGTTGAAAATGTTAGTTAAGAGTCAGATTTTTGGCAACGGAACTTACTTTTAATATTTTGAGCCAAAATACTTACCAAAACTTTATTCTTCAAAAGCAATAATGACCCATCAAATTGAGATGGTTTTTTTTTTTTGAAAACAAATACAAACATTTTGTTATAAAAAATGTGTTTTTATATTTTACAAGACGAAAATTATAATGGAAAGATTCCTTTTTTAAGAAAATACTATTGTATTATTTATTTTATTTTCGAAAAATTATCGT